ATTTTACATCATGTATTGATATGACATGTCTTTAAAAATATCATGTCCTTTAAATGTAAATATATACTATACAAATGAAATAGCAGGACCTTTCAAGTCAATATACAGTGTACTCTTGCAAACTCAAACCTGCTCAAATTTAACCATTGTATAATCCAATTTTGGTTGCTTTTCTGTTAAACATTTCAGCCAAAAACAAAAAATAAAATCAGATTACATTTGATATACATGTTAAATTTGTAAAATTAACACATATTTATGATAAAATGGATAGTATATGTCCAAATAAAGTAAAAAGTTTAGTGCATATTCAGTAGAGCATCAATTATCCAAATGTCGATCAACCAAAACGTCAATTAACCGAAAGTTTTCCAGTCGGCAAATATAAATTTCCACTAGTGCTGTGGCACTGCAATCTTTGGCTATGTCTTGGGCTACTCAAATATTATTTTTGTTGGTGTGCATGTTTTAGCTGGAAGCACTGGTGCGACCATGAAAGGGTACTTAAGGACGTGCCAGGATTTGAACGAATTTCAACATAGGATAGGTTAATATATTTTTTCGTACATAATCGGTTATCCTAAAAATTGATTTTCCGAACAACCAAAGTCCCCAATTGATTCAAATAATCGATGCTCTACTGTATATACATATATATATTTTTTATATTGTATTTGGTAAAATTCATCATCACTCTTACATTTATCTGCAAATAAGTGTACCTCTCTGGATGACACTTACAAGTTAGTCTATCACATCTTAATCCCAGCATTTTAATAAACATACAGGTTCTTTCACAATATCATCATCAAATGCATGACATATTGGAATGAGCACTATGTTTGAATTTGTTTTTCAAACCAATGTTCTAGAACTCAATTACCACAGAACATTTGAACCTGAAGATGCTTTCGGCTATTTTGAATAGCGATTTGTTTTTTTTTATGTCATAGTACCTGTTAAATTAGCTTTTTTTATTTTTGTTTACATACTGACTAATTTGATTTTGTTCTGATGATATTTATATATAATCCTATTAATCTGATATTTCCACTTATTACAACTTTGCACAGTAATTAGTTTAAAATAGCAAAAGTACACTACATTTGTGTTTATCTTAATCATGTTTTACCATTCACTTATTCCGAGAATACTGAAAATTGATTGAAAAATTATTTTCTGATTTTAATTTTATCTACTCAATAATCCTTATTGCAATAACATATACATCAACAAACACTACATCGTGATACAGTGTTACCAAACAATCTGCCAGATTATTTATCCGGCTATATTAAAGATAATTAATAACTGAAAACAAAGCAATTTGTTTGGAGATAGACAGTTATATTGCAACTTGTGATAAATTTAATAAAATTAATTTTGAATTTTCTGAAAGAAAAGAGATGGGACCCAAATCCAAACTCCTGCTTACCATGCTGCCAGTTATGAAAGCTAAATCTGTCCGATCTTTGCTTCCATAGTAATTATTAATTAGCCTTAATATAGTCTGATAAATATTTTGGCAGATTATTTGATAATCCTTATGGCACTTCTGTCTTAACTTTTTATAGTAGGAACTAAATTATATACGTTAATAATTTAACATTTTATTTTTTTAATGCATTAAAAATATTTTTTGTTTAATTTATGAAATTACATTAATTTAAAAGCAAAATAAACAGGTTGTTTTTGTATTACATCATATAATATAATACTTGTTATTTAAAATATACACACACAAGTTAAAATTAACTTTACAAATTATCTAATTATTAATCTTGGTCACAAATGAAGAATTTGGTCACAAAATTATTGAATTTAATCTTGGTCACAAAATTATTGAATAAAATAAAAGAAAATAAAGTGCTGTTAAAAATAAAAATAATAAGGAATAGTCATATGAACTTGACATACACTTAAAACAAACCGTATATTGAATGACAATCTTGAAAGAACTATAGAAAAATAAAGAAAGAGGACAAGAAAGAAAATGATTGACAATTTAAAAGATGGTTGCAGCTATTCCTCACTCAAAAATAGTCTAAGTAAGACAGAAATAGAAAAAATTCTGTTGATGTGCTAGAAATCTGCCTAAATAGCAAAATACTAATATTTTTTAATTTCTTTATAAAATATTTACATCATTCAAATCAAAATATTCTAATTAATACTTTATCATTAAAATAAAACTGAAAATGTAGGTTTAACTTTAAATACATTTTCAAAGTCATTTGTATGAAAAATTTGCTGTTGGGAAGTAAGTCAATATGTAATTCTTAGCATTCAATACATAAAATGCTATATTTAGATGTTATATTTGATTAATTCTAAAATAAATCTCAAGAGTTGATAAACTAAGATAACTATGCAATATCAAACTTGACAAATAGAGATACTTTTTGGTCAAACATAAAGGTAAAACATTTTTTTAAGAAAATAATTCATACTATTATCAAATAAAACACCGTTACCCTTTTATTCTTCTTCAGTATCAACAAAAAAGAAGAGCATTTTGCAATAATCAGTACCAAAAGAAAACATCCTTTCATTGAATAACATTAAATGATTTTCTAAATTCTGCACTGATTTTGATACAACATTTATATTTTCCAATTTATATAATAATTTACTATTATTTTTCTCTCACTGTAAATACTTTAATTTGGTTAATTGTATAAAAATTTAACTCTCTAACAGAAGTTATAATATAAAGAAAAATAGAAATTATCTCGAGATCAGCTTTAAAGACAATATTAGTATTATTCATGACACCTATACAAATTAAAATTCCACAATAGATTCAATACAATATTTCAATTTTTGATCGTTCCAATCTTACTATAATCAAGAACTGTTTACAGTAATTTAAATTTTTTTTTTGTTTTTATATAAAAAAAATGTTATAACGAAAAACTAGTTATTCATGAGCTCAGTTATAATGAGTAGCAAGAATCTGAGATTAAAGTTAATGATAATATGTGAAACAAAATATTGTGAAAATATAAATTAGAAACAGATTTTTCTTGATAAAAATTTGTTAATTTATTCTGCTGCTATTTAATTATTCATATTAATTTTAATTTTTAATAATAAATATAGACTACTATAGAAAAAATTTTTATGAGAAATTAAATATGATAAAAAATCATTTATTCATCTCCAGAATTATCTTGTAGATGTGATAATTATTATTTAGATTTTTGCTTTCAGTGGTACAATCATCTTCATATAGATAACACTTAAAATATATGGGGTTTTCCCGATGTTGATTCATCGCATCAGACTCCCGATGGGTTGTGACAGCTTGTTGCCGAAGTTAAAGGATCTTTGTCTTAAAATATACATTCTCATCTGTTATGAACACAATTTAAATTTTTATATATAAAAATAGTTAATGGAGAGAGGAGAGGAAAATTTTTATTTATTAAATTTAACTTATTAACTTTCATTTCCAGTCATAAAACAGTAATGTCAAAAATGACAAGACATAAAATATAAAAACTAGTATGTCCTATAATCTAAAATAAACTAATATGCATAAATATCTGTATCTAATAATGATATATTCTACTTATTAAGTAATTATCTCATGTTTCTTAATATTAACGATAATTAAGGAAGCATTTAAAATTTAAATTGATAATGTAACTACTGAATGCCTAGTTTTTCATCATAAAGTGACTATATAATATGGGAAATACGGTTGAATGAATTAGAAATTATAAATATTCAAATAGAAACAGAATTGAGTTCTCAGATACAATAAAGTTAATATCACTTGATCACTCAACCAAAACATATCTACTATATAATAAACTTAACAATATATTTTCATATTCATAACGGTCAAACATGTATAAAGTCTTTCACAAACATTGCTTTTGAATCATTGAGGGTAAATACAAAATTATATATAATAAATCACCTTACATCCTATAAAACTAAAACTGCAAAAAAAATCTGCTTACACAACATTAAATACATTCCATCTATATTCAATGAAGAGCTTATATTACAAAATTTATATCTTTGTTAATAAAATGGCATAAAACTCACATACATAGAAAAGTAACAAATTGACTTAACGATAGAAATCTGTGCATGTTTTTTGCTGAAAAATAATTTTGTCTATCATAGAAATTGACAAAACAGCTCAATGTTTATACATAAATAAATGAATGAATGAACTGTTTAATTCAAGAAAACATTAATTAAAAAATTTCAGGACAAATTACCATTCTCAACATATAAATACAGACACGTTCAACAGAACAGAACAACAATACAGAATATAATGAAAATAGAATATACATTCAACAACTTTGAATTCTATATTTGTATGCTGAAAATGGTTGCATAATTGACTAAAATTATTTTATTTATTAGCATTTTTGCTTTTCANACATTTAAATCCAAAAAGTGTATTTATTTATAAAATATCGATTAAAATTTAGCAACATCCCGCCTACAAATTCAATAAAAATATAAATAACACTGAAGAAAACAGGTTAAAGCCATCCAACATTTGAGTATATTTGCATATTCAAATTGCAAGAAGCAACACAGGGAAAAAAATATAATAATAATAATAATAATAATCATACTAGTCTGTATACAATACGATAAATTATGCAAATGGCAAAAACACGTATCGGTTTAAAAATTATATTTAATGTAGTTGAGTCGAATGAATCGATAAAGTGTAACTGAACCTCTTCATCCGCCGTATAGATTCGTATATATTTATACAAATTTGTTATATTTTTAATTATCAAAGAATGAAAGCAATAAACGGCATGGTTTAATTGTTATTTATGTGTTTTCGAACGCGTTTTTTAAAAAGACAATACATTAAGTAAACGTCACACAAGGCTTTCATATTTATATACAACTCGTGCCCGACGCTGGTTAAGGCAATATATAAATTATGATAATAATTAGAAAAATATCTCTCCGTTTCGATTATTACGCGTTTGTAAAACTTGTTATAAACTTACCTGTATTTATACGTCGACATTTTTTTTAATGTTATTTAAATATATATTTAAATATATAAGATTTTTTTTCTTTCCTGTTAGGTTCGTTTGGAGTACTGTCGGTCTTTGTCGTCTGCTGATGCTCAAAAATGCTTTCTTGTCCAAATTGTCCGACTGACCACACCACCTATTTGATATAAATTATGTTAATAAAAATTCGATATTTTATGTTTTTGTTTTTTTTCGAAAAGCGGAGTCTCGTAACACGTTAAAAATATTACCGTTTATTATTATTATATATTTAAATTATGATGGCATCGTTAATGTTATCTTGTATTCGGTTTGTAGGTATTTGGGATATAAAACTGTTCGCTTCCACGCTCTCGCTCTCTCCTTTGTTACCGATAGCGCGCGGGGGGGGGGACGGAAGATATTTTATACATTTAAATTTTTGTCGTCTGCTTTTCGTTATTTTTAAATGTCACGCTTTGTTCTATGTATTATCTTGCGATATTTACTTTAATTTAAAATAATATATGTTATTTAATCTTCAAATTATTTAAGAAAATTTGAAATTTTTAGATGCACGAGGATGTTAAAAAATATAATTACGCCGCGAGAAAATAGTTCCGTTATCTTTTATCGTTCTTCCACCCCGATTGCTTATTAAAACGATAAATTATTTAAAATTGTTTAAATATTCTCAAATTTAAACGACTTTTTCGTTATTTTTTATTATTTATGTCTGAAAAATTGCTTCTGTCAATATTCATTCGGCGGAAGAACTCGGACCATTAATTATTATTATCAGTCAAGATGGCGGAATGACTGCGTTCTCTGAGGTGAATTTTAATTGTGATTTTAGCAAATTTTGGACGTGTTTTTATCAATTTTCTAACGAGAAACTGATTCGATTCGATGTCAGGATGTTGTCTTACACTTTGTTTAATACTTATAATAAAAAAAAAGTTATATAACATCATTACTGATTATTGTTTAATATATAATAAAAAATACATTATTAATATTTTACGAGTATTTAATGTATAAATTGATAAGTTGAAAGTCTGCTTTCTTTTAAATATATTTACTTGACTATTAAATTAAATGTTCAACTGATTGTCAATTTAAATACAGTAAAACCTGCCTAAAACGGAAAAAATGTTCGGTACTGTGCAATTTCGGCTTACACAGGTTTTACTGTATTGCTAGAAGTTATAAGTGCCTTGTTATATTTTTATATACGTATAAAATACTTAAAAGGGTAAGATGTGAACTCTGAATGAGGATTTTATACCCCAGGATTATAGACTTTCCTATATGAAAAAAAAAAAAAAAGTTGAAGGAACCATACCTGTATACACAACCCTTTGTGAAATACTGCCTCCAAAGGCCATTTTTACCGTGTACCGGTATACTGCCTACTCTCCACGTTAGTTGCGGCAAACTATTGCTCACCTTAATTGATGTTCTGTGTGTTGTCACGTGCTTTGGTGTTGGTGCTCGCTGTTACTCACTCCTCGGTGCTCATGGGGTGTGCCTTCTCAAAGCTATGTAACGTCAAGTACTACGTGAACAGTCGAGTGGGCTACTTAAAGCCGGCATAGTTTCATGGGTTAAATGCAATAGTCTTAGCTGAGTAATGTATGAAAGTAGGCCTGAATAGGAGGCCGATATAGGAGGATTGTATCTTGTCGAGGATCTTGTAGAAGTATGGTAACTTTGGGTTTTGCTCCTATGGATGTGGTCTATGACTGATTGTTAAGGTCCCAACCGTCTCATTCAGAGGTGTAATTGTAACTTTAAATAGAGTGAAATCATGAAAAGTTTATTTACTGAATACTTAATGGAATGACATAAAAAATGTAATATTTAATTTAATTTATATATCAATATTTAAATAAATTGTAAACTTGTACCATATAATTTGATCTGATCAAAACTCTGTTTTCTATGTTAAATTAATTAATCAAGTAAAGATGCATTGTGGTATAGAAATTGGCTACTTATTTATCTAAAACTGTTGCAAGGAAGGTTGAACCTCCATTCTATAGTTTTGGGGATTATCTGCAACATGCTGCAATTTGGCATGATTGTAATTCTTGATGACGTGAATGTGATCTAAGCTATACAAATATATATTATAATGACAGATTCAATCAAAAAAAAAGCAGTCAGAATTAAAAGTTTTTATCGGAAAAGGCTATTAAGAATGACCACAACTTATACAATTGACACTGCAACAGTTGTCACAACAGCTGCATCATGACTTTACTGACACTATACCCTCTTTTCTGTCCCTTCTCCCAAACTCACTTCTACACCACATATTCATTTCACACCATAAAATGAGCATACATCTGTGACACATTACTAGTTTAGCCCCTAACTCGGGTAGCCAACAGTTTTTGCCCCGAGCCGAATTGGAAAGAAAACTTTTTTCATGGGCCGAACCAGAGGCTGCCTTAGGAAGATTTTATTTTAAGGTGGTGCGAGATCTCATTGTGGTGTCACCCCGTAGAGACTAAATTGTACATAGAGATTACATTTTTCACATTATCATGCTTTATCAACATTCTACGCTGTACTTAAGAGATTTGTAATGGAGGGTTAACTCTCTGCTTGCTTCATCCTACTTGTTCTCAATGTTCATAAAAATTTCAATGAAATGTATACCTTCCCCTGTCTAATTCTGAGTGAGGTTTGTGAAATGTAAACTCCGTTTCAAAATGCTCTTTCACATCAAATTAATTGGAAGAAGCCAATTTTTATTCAAATCACATAAAAAAAAAAAGCTTTCAGATTCCAGAATAAAAAAGCATTTTTTTTTTTTCTTTTTCAAATTAGTTTAAACATCATGTTTTTTTTTTTTTTTTAAATATTCTACAGAAAAGCATTCCAATTCCACGGTTAGGTGGTTTGTTTCTCACCCAGCTTGATCCATCTGTTTGGTGCAATTTGAAAATGCAGACCTATAAATTTCCCTTGTCATCCATCTTCATATATCTGTTTTTCCTTAATCTCAAGAATGGAGTTAGCTGGATGAAAGATGAGACAAGAGATGGAAATCTTAGGGGCAGATGGTCCTGATTAACTATATACAAACTGCCAGTACAAATCAGAAGTCACATTATTTCAATTCAAAAATTTTCCCCTGGAAGATGTCAGATAGATGACTTGCACAACACTATTGTTAAAGGAAAAGTATGATGTACAGGGGCAAGCCACTACTAATTTGAGGTGGAGATCATATAAATTAAATATAAAAATATGATTCAAAATTGCAGCCTAGCATTGTGACAATGTCACAGTAAATAAAACAAGCCCACTAAACAAAGTGTTAAAAAGCATTTTAAAAATGTGTGCATGTTTCTGCTGTTATAGTGCCAGGTTGTACATAGTCTGCCATGCCTTTGAGAGTTGTTTTTCATCTTTAAAATTTATCTAAAGGTCCTGGCAGTCTGCTTTAAAACTCTCTAATGCCTCCAAATTCTTAAGCTGGTTTATATGACAGTTTGCTAGATTATGGTAGCTTGATGTAGTTCGGATGTAATCCCATTCTCACTGGCATGTAGGTAGTGTTTTTCTTCTTTTCAATATCCATTTTGTGTTCACAGAAGCATTGTTTGAGAGATCTTGTAGACCGGATATATACAAGGTCTCTATTGAACCTGGTATCTTTGACGGAATTTTACATATCCCTGGTGCTTTTTCGATGTCTTCCCAATCCTTCTCATTCCTTAGCATGTCAAATGTATCTGACTTATGCCTATAGCAATTTTTATATTAGTATAAGCTCCAATTTCTCGATATAAGGACTGCATATGGCATTCATATGTTATAGCAATGCAATAGGGAGATGTATCTTCTCACGGAATGTTTTCTGGAGTTCAATTCAATTGATCTTTGAGTTGGTTTTGACATTCCATATACTAAGCTTTTATTATAGCCATGATTTTCAGCAGTTTCTGCTATTTTTTTTATTTCCTTCTGCTTGTCTTGTTCTTTGTTACAATGTGTATAGGCCTTTCTTGTAAGCTCTGTAAAGGCTACTATTTTGTAGTTGTATGGATTATATTGGGATGGAACTCAGTTTTTGGTATATCTTAGTATCATATCGTGTGTCAATGAAGAAAGTGTAGCATTCATAGAAGAATCCTTTATGGCAAGTCCAAGAAAGTCATTAAGACAAGCATCACTAGAGCTGAGGCTTTCAAAGTCCACTGTCCATAAGATTCTGCGGAACAATGAAAAAAAAAATTGTTTTAAAATGACATATCTATTAGAAGTGGGAAGAAATTTTTGAATGTTTTTAAATTTAAATTTTATTTAAAATGTTTAATTTCACTTACATACTACACACATGCTTGTACTATGATAATTTATTTCACTGTTCATTATTTTCACTCACGAAAATTTGCCGACTTCAGCAATTATCTTGTTTTCCATGCCTTAGTGCTGACACTGATCTACACAACTGTTTTAAAGAAGCCCTATGTTCTCTTCTGATAACTTCTTATGAAAATTTTTTCAAATTTTCTTCTAAATTTTAACTGTTATGAAGATATTCAACAAACTTCATTTTGTTTCATTTAAACTACATTCTTAACGTATGAAAAGATGATTTAAAAATAATGATAAAAAATTTTAAAAACATTTATTACCTCATACAATCAATTTCACTCTTTATAAAGAAAATTCTGATAAAAAGTGAAATTGTCAGTTGAGAAGCATCCATATGTTGCTTTCCCAATGGCATAGATGATTTTTGGCAGATGGCTTCTCTAAGATGGCAAAGGACGGTGACATACATCTTGTCCCTCAGGTTTTTACTATGAATTTTCATAGTAAAAACCAACTCAAAGATCAATTGAATTGAGCTCCAGAGTTACAAATGTACTTGTATCTATCCTCCACAATGCTGCAATTAAACAATGAGGACTTATATGTATACATATTTATAAATTAAAGAAAATTGGAGTAAAATGTCATTAAATTCAATAAAACTATATATTTAAATATAATGGAATATATAAACTAATTGTATTTGAAAGAATCCAAATTGCCTATCAAAAATTTAGAAATACAGTTGTCCCTTGATAATCCGACAGGTATGGGACCAAAGGGATGTTGGATTACCAAAAGTGATTACATATTTGGCATTGTTTTGCTAGCAGTAGCCTACAATATTCCCTACTCCAACTGTTGGAATAGAACTGCTCATGGAAAACACACGAAATGTGTTTCATTGTGTAAGAATTGGGTGAGGAGATTCATGTTGCGACATGCTTCTGTGCAAACAGACACGTAACGGGGATGGGGACTACGGTGACCTTGACGGGAGGTGCGTCAGACTAGTGAGCATGTCTGATTACAAAACGTCGGACTATCAAGAGACAATTGTACTGCTGAATTATGATAATTATTATGATATATAACTGAAACTGAATCATATAATAGGACTAGTTTAAGCAAAATAGTTACTTCAGTCTAATTATGTAGGAGAGGAGGAAATGTTATTACAGTAGATCCCCCTATAAAACCGTTTCCTATAGTTATGATTCCTATAAAAATTGTGGCAGTATCCGTAAACAACGGTAAAAATAACTCCTATAATACGTAAAACGTCATCGGGCAGCCGAACTACTTTCCCGATGTCCGTAGCGCCACGCTACGGACGTTTAGGTGGATAAATTGAGTTTAGTATCGTCTGTTCATATAATTATATATAAATTAGGTACTGTACATATAATTATATATTAATTATATATAAATTAGGTACTGTATATATAATTATATATTAACTTAATTTATTGTAACTTTATTATAATTAAATATATAT